GAGCCGCTCATCTGCAAAGTAAATTTTCGTGTTAAGAGTTTCGAATTGGCACCGATTTTGTAAACTGTCACGTTTAGGGCACACCGTTCTTTCCTTTTGTGAAAGAACCTCTCCATGATTACCACAGATACTTCATAGAGACTGTGCCGATCAAGAGTAAAATAAGTGACAGTAGGGTGGCAATAGTGGTCTGAGCGGTTAGCCGGCGCTCCTTGGGCCTCGTGTCTAGTCTCTTTTTTGTTAGCGTCCTATTTACGGCACGTTCTTTTGCCTTATTATTCGTAACGAACCGCTTAGCAAATAGAGATTCGCACTTCATTTCCGATTTCTGCGCATTGCAGTCGCGGAACGTGTGGTTGTAGATTCAGGCAGCAATTTCGGAATACAAACTTGAACGAGTACAGAACTACTATAGTGAAACTTTCATCATTCTAATAGCACATTTGTTCTTTTTTGCATAGAACAATTCTTTTTTGAAAGATAGGCTAAATTTTGAAATGGACTTTCAAAATTTGTCGGACTGACGGTTGATACCCAGTTGCCGTGCTCGGTTGAACTTTTTCTTCAACGGACTGCGCTGAAAAGTTGGGTTACGAAGATTACAAACGCCTCAGCTGCAGAGCTGGTGGAAAAAGGGCAAACGGCCCGAAAACTACGAACAATTTGGAAAGTTGACATTTGTGCCTTCAATCCTTCCTTAGCGCTAATCGTAACTGATGAAGGTGGGGGCGCGAAGTGGGCCTTTCACGATGGAGATCCAAAGCGGGTAAAAAAGACAGAAAATAAATAAAATGCGAGAGAACGCGCCTTACGAGAAGGAGTAGGGAAACGGCCGTTGCGGCTGTCCCCAAACAACTACCGCCCGCTGCGGGTAGTTGGAAGCATTGTAAGACCCTAGTGTCCTTGTCGCGCTTTTTCAAGCGGCGTTAATGGCGCATCGGCGACCATCGCAAACAGCTCTATCTACGGAAGGGATTACTCCAGTGGTCCTATTTCGGCACTTGCCTTTGAGCACGACCACAGGGCTTTTGAGCCTTTTGAATTCGATTGCTTTCTTATGCCTTTACCTATGGGTGTAATCGGACTTCTTAAATCCATCAATCCTCGAGTTTAATATTTTAAGGTGTATAACACTGGTTTGAAAGTGGATGTAAATCTATGATTTTGGTGTCTATTATAGTGGATGTATCGCTAGCCTTTCAGAGCCTCCTTGAGTATCAAGCCTATTGCTTGGAAATGCCCAGAATAGGGCACCCTCCTTTTCGGTACGGGCGCCAGTCGGAAAAGCAGTGCGGGGAGTTTCCATTCCACGAAATCGATGAACTTGGAGAATCCGATCTCGGTGGGCGATCAAAGACTGCAGCGTTGCGGCATGCGACTGATGTTCTATCAGGTGTGTCGGACACGGCTTGGAATCTAGTCGTTGGACGAGAGACAGGATTCCATGAGCGACTAGCGAATACAAGGAATATCTCCGACCTGATGGAAAGAAATTTTCACGATATTTCGGCACAGGTTTCTTTCCTTCGTCTTGGAGTTTTGCTAGGACTTACTCACTCAATCAGAAGGATTCCGCGATGAAGACGGAGGTCGAATGGGGGAAACTCACTTAGTGGAGAGACAGGCGAACATCCTAAGGTGTGGATCAATATGCATTTCGCATCGAAGGATATGCCCGCGGCGAGTTAGAGAGCTCTTCCCCGCTGCGCTATTGAAGCGGCACGCCCACCGACTGGCTAGGCACTCGGCGCAGGTCTATAGCCGTTTAACAGAGGGAGCGTTAATTTGAACAGGGCAATGCAGATGAGAGTTGCATTGTGCGCAAATCAACGGGCAAGGAAGGGGTCCCATTTCTAGGGTTCTTGGCCATTTTTCTCGATTTTTTATTT